TGCAGAATCAATAGGAGAGGGGATAAGAACTATCAGAGGTGTTCAGGCATTCCCTTCATCGTGTTTGAGCAAAGCAGGTAAAGAATTAGAGTTATTCTTAAATTCCTTTCAGGTTTCTAGGACTGGAGCAAATGCTTTATAAGGAGGACAAAACAAAGACCAGATTTCCTCCTGTCTACACAGCACCCCCTGCTGACTCACCCAGTTCATTCCTCTTTTTGTCCTGAGCCCGGCGATGTGGCTTATCCTGGACGGAGAGAACAAGAAAGTCAGACAGAAAAAGTCGAGAACCATATGATTTCACTGATATGTGGGACATAAAACTGAAAACAACAAAGGAACAAGACAAACAAATGAAGAAACAAAAACTCATAGACACAGAAAACAGTTTAGTGGTTACCAGAGGGTAAGGGGAGAGGGGGTGGTAGAAGAGGGTAAAAGGGATCAAATGTATGGTGATGGAAGGAGAACTGACTCTAGGTGGTGAACACACAACATGATATATAGATGATGTATTACAGAATTGTACATCTGAACCTATGTAACTTTACTAACAAATGTCACCCCAATAAACTTCAATTTAAAAAAAGGAAGAAAGAAAGAAAAAGAAAGAAAGAAAGAAAGAAAGAAAGAAAGAAAGAAAGAAAGAAAGAAAGAAAGAAGGAAAAGAAAGCCAGCATGGCTACCTATGTCAACCCTGGGGGCTCCTCAACCCCTATCTGAGCACCCAGCAAAGGGCCATGCCTACTGCTGGGGTCTACTGGGGCCTCCCCTAGTTACCCCCCATGATTGTCCATGCACAGAAAGGAGCAAGAGGTCTTACCTTCTTCATAGTTCCAGTAAAATCTATGGGAGGGAAAAGGAAAGTTAGGATGGGATATGCCCCATGCAGAACCAAGCCCACCTCCGCCCTCTCTCCCACTGGTACCTTGCCCATGGCGGCCACAGGGAGGGACCCTCCCCAGACACTCCTTGTGTGCTGGTGCCCGACACCGATGACAACGGTAGCCTTGATAGAAGGTGCCTCTGGGATGCAGGGGACGGAGAGAGAAAGTAGAGTCAGTGATGTTGACGGACACAGCCAATCATTCAGCCAACAACGTGAAGGGCCCCCCTGGGTTCTCTTTAGAGCAGGAGAGAGATGGAGAAGAGGACGATCAAAGGAGCGTCTCCTACTTCCCAACTCAGGGCACTGACAGCTGGAGGAGCCCCTTTAAAGAGGAAGAGCTGACCAAGCCCAGGACCCAGGCCCATCCTCCCAGACTCCCCCACCTCAGCAGCATCTGGCAAGCCTTGCAGGACGTGGTCTCCTCAAAGGAGAACATCTGGAAGTCATGCCCATTGGCAGTGGCGTTCTCAGGGTAGATGTTGGAGCTGGAGAGGGAACATAATTTCATGCAATGCAATAGTATTCCGCCATAAAAAGGAATAAAGTATCGATACATGCTGCAACTTGGATGTATGCAACTTCTTTCCTTTTTATGGCTAATACCAGTCGACTGCATGGATATGCCTTATTGTGTGTATCCATCCACCCATTGATGGACATTTGGGTTGTTACCACCTTTCAGCCATTGTGAATAGTGCTGCTAAGAATGTGGGTGGAGAGAGAAATCAGATTAATGGCTGCCAAAGGGTTTGGAGGGGAAAGTGGGTGCAGGGTCTTCTTTTGGGGGTATGAAAATGCTTTGGAACTATAGGTAGCAGTTGCAAAACATTGTGAATTGTACACTTTATTTTTTTTTATTATTATTATTTTTTTTTGTAGAGGGTAGTGTCACTGGCCCTCATATGTGGTATCCGAACCAGGGCCCTCTGGCGTCCCAAGCCAGCTCTTAACCACTGCGCCACTCGGCCGGCCCGTGAATTGTACACTTTAAAATGGCTAATGTTTTGTTATGTGACTTTCACCTCAAGAGCAAGAAGAAAAAGAAGGAGAAGGAAAAGGAGGAAGGCGTTCCAGGCTGGTAACCAAAGCTTGCCCAGAACGTTGGCATTCTTAAGCCCGGCGCTCCCATTTTCCACATAATGAAAGTGGTCCCACAGAATGTCAATGCAGAGGTGAGACTAGAGCCCAGAATTGCCTCTCAGCCCCTGTACCCAGGTGACAGAGTCCTCTGAGGATAGAAAGATGGAGGAGGGGGGTCTCACATGGCCATCTCAAACTGCTCCATCCACTTCTTCTTCAGCTCTCGCGTCTTGAAGAACAGCTCATAGCCTTGAGCACCTTGGTCCTCAATCAGGAGAAACATGTGAGTCCACTGCAGGGAAGCAGGGTTCAGAATGAAGGCACCCACCTTTCAGAAGGTGGGGCCACCTGCCCACCGACCCCACCCCCTGTAAGGAGAAAAGCATGGCGCCAGTAACAGCCTCTCTGGCCCAGAAGAACCATGTATGTACCCTTGTAAAGAGCTGCTAGGGAGAACCAAATACACACCCATAAATCTAAAATCACACACACACACATATAAACACTCACATCTGAGTTACACACACACACACACACACACACACACACACACACACACACCCAAGACCAAGTGGAGTATCTCAAGCACTGGGGCTCCCCAGCAATGGGATCCACACTTCTGCCCTCAGAACCCCACCTTCTTGTTATCGCGCTCTCCNCCCCTCCATGGTTTTTAACAAAACTCTTCACTGAGGTAATTATCCAGGTCACTTTTTCACATATGTTTTCCCCCCGTAAGATGTAGGCTTCTAATCCATTTCCTTGTCTTTATTCAACAAATATTTCTGAGAAAACATTACTAGCAAGGCAGTATCCTAGAGGCTAGGAATTCATCAACAGATGAAATAAAGATGACTCTCTGCCTTTATGAGACAAAAATAAGAACCAGGCAGAAACAAACTTTTTTCACAAACCTTGAGGTCTCTCCTAACAGTCTCAATTCAGGCAGGCAAAAATGTACAATAGGCAAAAGTGGTTAGTCCCAGCTCTGCCTATCCATGTATTCAATATTAATTGAGCACCTACTATGTGCCAGACACTATTTCAGGCACTGGTGATACTACAGTAAACAAGACAGACACAAACCCTAACTCTTCCCATTCTCCAAACATGCCAATCACTCTTACCCGAGGGCCTTTGCACAGGTTGGTCCCCTCTTCCTGAAAATACTTTCCCCCACCCCCTCATGACCTTTTAATCCGCTAACTTTACACATCCCACAGTGACCAGTTTGGCCTCCCAAAAGTCATCCTGATCTGTTCCCAAGGTGAGTCAGGGGTTCCCTTGGGGCTCTCATGCTGCCCTGTGATTCCCCATTGCAATACTGACCACTCAACATTGTAACTTCTTGGTTACAGGTCTATCCTCTTCACTAGACTATGAGTTTCATGAGGGTGGTGATTATACTGTGCTCATTTTTGTCGCCTCAGCACCCAGCAGAATGCCTGACACATAGTAGGTGATGAACAAATAAATGCAAGTTGCATCAATCTCTGTGTGTCTTCCTCCCCTTGACCAAGAAAAACCTCCACATGAGCCACACCCCTCCTTCTCCATTCCACAATTCCAGTATAGTTTGTGGATCCTAAGAAAGAAGATACCTACCAAGAAGGGCTCCTGGTGGCTAACTGGGCTCAAATATAAAAGCAAAGCCTAGCAGTCGTTTCTAAACAGGGGCCTCACACGCAAACCACACTTCAAGGAGAAGCTTGCACTGAACTGCCTGCTAGCACTGAGTTCCTGTCACCTGAGCCAGCCCTTATAAAGAAGTTCCTGGAATTGTATTTCAATCAATAGGACTGAGGCTTTCCCCATCCAGTTGGAGCCATGTAGCCTCTTCACTGACCAATCAGAGAGGCTCCATTCTGACCAATCAGTACAATGCCTTTTGGGCCAATAAAACTGAGGATTTGGAGTCCTCATTTGCATGAGGACAGACCAATCAGGGGCCACAGGCAAGGAGTTCTATCTGTATAAGTCAGCTCCCCTCTGGCTCAGGGAGAGCACTCTTCCTTTCCAACACAGACAGAGGGTTATGTTTTCCCAGCTGAAGCTAAAACACCAAAGAAGTCTAGCTGGACCAGAGCAGAATAGAATGGAGTAGAGCAGGTGAAGCAAAGCAGACCAGACCAGACTGGCACAGAGCAGGCTGGCACAAAACAAAGCAGGGCACAGCAGAGTAGACTGGAGCAGGTGAAGCATGCTGGAGCAGAGCAGAGTTGCCTCACCCTAGGGCCACCTCATCCCAGGGCTGCCTCACAGCCATGCTGCTTCATAATTGAGCTGTAACACTACTGAGCAGTTCCACAGCCATGCTGTCCTCATGTTCTCATAGCTGTGCTATATCACCATTGGGCTATTTGCATTGAATAAAGTTTCCTTCTTCACCACACCCCCAAACTGGGGATTCCTGTTGGCGTTGAATCGGCACCAATGATCATTGGCTGACGAGTTCTACTATGGCCAGCTCACCCCAATACCTTGCCCAGGCTGCCAAGCTCCCCCCTGACTCACCCGGCCATAGATCTCCCCTCGCCACCAGCCTTGTTGCCCCTTCTTGTTAAGGATCTTGACAATGTCACCCTCTTTGAGGTTTAGCTCCAATCGGTCCCGGGCGCAGAAGTCGTAGCGAACTTTGGCTGTGCCAAAATACTTGGTGCTTCCTGCTGTGTAGAGGAAAAAAGAGATGGGAAAAAGGCCTGGCGCAGACACGTATCCACTGTCCAGGGGCAGTAGGAGGGCAATGCTCTCAGAAGGTAACACCAGGATGAAGGGTCCCTCAATGCTTCTGTGTGCAGTGTTGGGTACCCTGTGCTCTGAGGGGACACAGTTGTACTCCCAGAATCATCCTTCCAGCCCAACCGGCATCCACATTTAGAAAATAATACCATTTACAAATTTTTATATGGTTTGAATATATTTATAGTTAAAGGAGCAGCAAAAGTCATTCTAGGCTGTTAAACATTATTTTAGAAGAACCACGTGTTGAAAAAGAGAGGGAATGGAAGAAAGATAAGCAGAGAAGACACAGAAGACACTTCAGAGTACAATATTAAGTTACACTGTAGAATATAAAATTAATTTGTAGTATTTTTACAAATATGCTAAGATTGAACATCCACATATACA